TCATCCTAAGGGATACCTCATGAGCTGTTTCTATCGTCAAGTGTGAATAGTTAGGTTTTTAAAGTGGAAAACTATCAAAAATTGGTACCGAAAAACTGGTGAAAGCCCAAAGATAAAGACAAATCAGAAAAACCAAAAATGGTTTTAAGTGGTGAAGATAGCATTTGTACTCATAACAATAATTCTGTAGTAAACGCACTTTTATGGTGACTTGTAGGGGAATCGATAGACAATTATGGCGATGATACATATTAAAGCAATATTTCACAAAGGTGATGGGTGAAGTATCATAATCATTAAAAAGTCTTTGTTTTGTCTTGCTTACTGCTTGCCCGTACTTACACGGAGAGGCAGAACCTGCTTGCGGGTGGGCTGGAACGAGTAATAGTCAGCTGATTAGGGCAGAAAGCAAGCGTTTCTGGAAAAGAGAGGAGACATTCGGTATTTGTAATTTCAGAGCTTCTAAATTCAAATTCGGGGGTGCGCCTAGACTTCTAGTGGCTTAAATATGTTTCCATGGCTTCGAAGATTCGGGGGCGGGCACTGTCCAGTTTCCGCAGGAAATCCCCACTTGTGGGCGTGGCAGCCAGACGTTGCTATTCCCGACCTCCAGAAACAGACTAAGCAAATACCAAGGTCAATTGATGATGAAGATAAGACTGAAACTATACACTTCATGGAATTAGAACTATAGACCTTCAGAACTTGTTTGCTAGTGATTCCGCCTCAGAAAACTTGGATGTTTCGAAATATCCTCAAAATGCCGTTACCGACTTGTTTGGCAAACGAGATCCCACATAGGCGTTATGGAAAGTCAACAGCTGAATGTTTTTCTCTGAAAGAAAGTCTTTTCAAGGGTTTTTACGAATCTGAACTGCTTCAAGGATTTCGCACGAATCGAGGATGACATCACTTTCCAGAGTTTCAAGTCCCTGATGTTTGTCTCCTTTTTCGGGGTCACTCTCACGACAACCGGGCCTCCACCAGCATCCGCACCACTTAGCTTCATATGACTCAGGATGTGCAAACAAATCACCGTTTTCGTTCTTGTGCAAAGTTGGCTCATCAAAACAAGGCACAGAGAGAGAAAGCCCCACTTATTGTCCTGCTGTCGGCATATTTCAATTATTATGTTCAAAGCAAACTCAGACGAAAGAATTCTGCTTGCTAACAGGCCACTAGAAAAGTCTCCCTCAACATCTTCAATACGTCCTCTGAAAATGAGACGGTGCTTCTGTTCAAAAGACTGAAATAGTATCCAATAGCTGGTCTGAATACTTCTGAGTAGCGGTCAAGAAGAACCGAAAATGAGTCTGGAGGAGCTCTTTGAAAAAAAATGTGAGCCACTCAGAAGAATTTCGAGCAGTTCAAAAATTACATTGAATCGGTGCAATTGAGCGAGGGAAAACTATTGATGATTCTGGAAGAAGAATCTCTAGAAAGCAGTGGTTGACTGAGTTACAGTAGTAAGGCTAAGGCGTTGAATTCTCGAAAGCTCGCTTAGGCCGAAGCCATATGTACACTTATAAAATGACCAATCTAATGGCCATTTTTATTTTGGACTTCAAAAGACGAAGGTGTAGGTGCTCTTACAATCTCTCAAGATGTTCTTAGGAACGAAATGTAACCAAGCTATCGGCTTCAGCGGGCTCCCTACTGAACAAATAGTACAAAATCTTCGTGTCCTGAATTTGGGGTCATTGGTCGTGGTCATTGATGCAGAGCAGCTGATTGTCATGTGCCTTTCCGTCGCGCTCACTCCCAAATATAGGAAACAGCTCAGAAGTGTTGCACAAACAATGAAGAACAAGACCAGAGCAGGCTAGAAAAGCCACAAAGAAAACATGACCTTGGAAAACCTATTTTAACCTTTTCTTTCCGGTTCCTTCGAGGGCTCCCACCCAACAGATCCAGACATCTATAATATGCTCAATTTTTGGTGCTTGCAGCCATTTGCAGAGACCGAGATTCGCCATAAACGTAAAACATCTTTCAAATGAGTATTTAAACCAGTTTTCAGAAAACCAGTGCGCTTGACGTCAGTTCAAAATCATAGAAGTACTCGGTTTCTGAGCCGGTTGAATCTGCGTGCGTAGTCCTCCATCCTGGGGTCCTGCGTGCGCAGACCTCCATCAATTGCAATTGCATGTGGTACCCTGAATCTGCGTGCGCAGTAATCCATCCTGGAGCCCATGGGCACGCCGTTCATACACGGATTCGACCGAATATAGTTCTTAAAACACATTGAAATACATTCGATCCAATCGTATCAAATTGCACCTATGAGATAGTTGAAAAAATACAAAAAAAGATCCTTGTTGTTTGTATTTTAGCCGATCACCTATGTGTAATTCGCAGCTACATTTTTAGAATTTCTGGAGGAGTCTGATTCCCTGCGCATCTTGAGCTAGAAAATCATCACAGTTGTACGAGTTTTTGTCGACGAAGGCGATGTTAGGACGAGATTTCAGTTACTGCAGAGTACCACATGCAATTGCGTATGTATTCGTCTACAGTACCACTGCTGCCTCAAATTGCCTTCCACTGTGGATCTTCAGGACATGTGCGTTACTCGAAAGGCTTGAACGAATACGTTACATCGACGAAAACTATGAACCAAAAACCATACATTGTTGTAATTAGTAATCTTTATGAGAAAAAAAGTACACAAAAATGAAGTGGGGTCTTATGGCGGCACGTCAGAAGCGGTAATCAAAGTAATGTGTGTGACTAGAGCGATTGTAATAGTGCAGATATGTAGGAATCGGAAATGGCGAATTGGAAGAGTAAATTAAAAAGTAAAGTAGGATTAAGCAGTGCGTCCAATTTATCGATTCATAAAACTTTGAAAAAGCCCTTTGAGACTGTTTCGATAGGGGTATTCCTTCGGAAGTATAGGATGGAAGCAATGACTCGAACGATCGCAAGCATGTCACGCTTCAGCAGGTCACTTTTATCAGCGAAGTACTCGGTACGGACTTGTCCGACCATTTTGTTCAAACAAAAACGTCATTCGAAAACAAAAATAAGTGGCTGGTATGGGTGATTCGTTGCCTAATAGTTGACCCAACACTTCCGAGTCTTATCTAATTCAGAGGAGAGAGAAGGTGCACTATTGATTGCAAATCAGCAACAAAATGTAGAACTGAGGCTGGAGGCTTACGTATATTCTAAGTTCAACATTCCCTATTGTGTGATCAACTATATCTATTGCATTAGCCGATCAGTGTATCGAATTCCACTTCTTAATAGCTGTGGCATGTTGAATGCTTTCGCGGCCTACCCAACGACTTGTGGTGGCCAGTTGATATGCAACTTAGCAGTAAATGTTTTTATCCTTCCAGGCGAGTCTGGTACCAATCAATCGGGACCTTGAAGATGGAAAGCTTGGTTGGTCTAGACGGATATCCACCCGGGATCGAACCAGTGTCCATGCGTGCGTTATAGTGCGCCAATTGCTACTACACCACCTCTGACCCTACTCGATCACTGTATCTTCAAAAAATTCATATATCACTTCAATTATTTTGTTACACTAGAAGTGTACGACATCAGGGTTTTCACTTTTTTTTGATGGAGCGTTCGAGAATGTTCAAACTTATGAGTCGCTTGCATAATATAGGTATACTCGAGTTGTGAAGACTCCTATTTGGCATTAGAAGTACAAGTATAAATGCTACATTGTCATAATCGATGAATTCGCAGAGCAGAGCTGTTGCTTTTAATATGATGAAATATTGAGCATTCGACGTTAGACGATAAACTTCTTTACATAAGAGATCTACATAAGTAACCACCGACTTAAAGTTTTCTACTGACAATGGGTAAAGTAACATGGAAGAATGGTG